GATAAATGAATGTAAATTAGGATAATATCTGTTCCGCAAGTGATGTCTCCCAAAGACAAAGACTGAATAAAGCGATGCGAAAGCGTTGAACACAAGACAATACCCAAATGGCCGACTCTATGGGCCGCTCGTATAGTACGTTACGATTTACCTGTTTTTTGTTACAACACTTACGATACAAATGGATTAATTGAATGCATTTTAATAATCATTTTTAATTAATATTTATTGAAAATTATTGTGTTATAAATGAATCACTATTTATTTGAGAGTAAGTAATGTGTGATTAAATGGCATACAATTAATAGTCATGATTAGTGATTGTATGCCGTAATTGATGGCATGAATGAGTGCTTGGATTGGTTTGTGTTGTGTTTGCAATACATTCAGTATTGAGTGAACGGTTGAGTGCATTGAAGACAATAAGTCACATCCAATCGCATCCCATCTGAAGATATGGTCGATTCCGATAAATTGAATATCGACTCAATTATCCAAAGACTTCTCGAGGGTTTGTTGTCTTTGATTAGCCATTGTTTGCCATTTGACTCAATTCTAGCCATACTTTCGGCATTGAATGCATTATAACTATTGTTTGCATTGATATGTGATATGATTTGTTAATTGTATTAATTGTGTAATTTTATTGTCAATTCTTGGGATCAGTTCGCGGATCGCGTCCGGGAAAGAATGTCCAGTTGTCCGAAGCGGAGATCAAAAGTCTTTGCGTCAAATCACGGGAAATATTTCTGAGTCAACCCATTCTTCTGGAGTTGGAGGCGCCCCTCAAGATATGCGGTCCGTATTACACACTTTACACTCATTTTATGCACATTTTATTTGCAAATATCTATTTATTACTACTATTAGTGTATAATATCTAAACATTTAGTACACAATTGAATGGTTTTGTTGTAATAATACTTCAATGCAATCCAATTCCCAAATTCATTTCCCATAGACTTTGTTAAAAATCAAACATTTTTTATATCAATACATTTGTTAGCGTTTTATTGTTAAATAAACGCTAAATGCTATCCATTTGATAACACTATAAATATAAAGATATAATTGTTTGCGAATTGTTTATAATTTAAATGAATTGCAGTTATTTAAAAGTACATCATTTGAATGCCTATTAGTGCATGTGTTGTCAGGTATTGAGACAATTGATAGTTAGATTACAGCAAACAAATTGCCATTTAATGTGATTTTAAAGAAAATGCTGTATTTTATCATTAAAACAATCAAATATACCTAAACTTAATTAATAGACACAAAGTAGTTATGGTATCAATTAATAGACTGTATTTGAATGAAATGCCATTTATTGAGAAATTTATTGATTTAATGATTTGTTCATTCAATTGAAGTAATTGTTTAAATTTATAATAAATGTCAATAACTTATTGAGTTTCCTCTCATTAGAAACTCTTTGTTTAGTTACTCTAACTCTCGATAAATACATTTAATGAAATGTTTGCTATAACAGTAAGTAATAGCCTATATATAAAGTTATAGCCCATAACCTATGATTTTCCTATAAATAGAGATTAAATTGCATTAAATTTGATGTCAATATAAATCATTTACTAATGGCTTTTAACGTCAAAACTATA